GGATTGGTGAGGGGTGCAGAGTCTTTGGGGGGCATATAGTCCGGGATTGGTGAGGGGGGTCAGCAATATGTATGAGTTCATAGCAGAGTCTTTGGGGGGCATATAGTCCCCCAGGGGGTGAGTGTCGGACCCACAGTGACTCCCCCAGGATTGGGGTCAGGACCCCCAGCACAGTGACTCCACCCCAGGATTGGTGTCGGGGACCCCCAGCACAGTGACTCCCCCCAGGATTGGTGTCGGGACCCCCAGCACAGTGACTCCCCCCAGGATTGGTGACGGGACCCCCAGCACAGTGACTCCCCCCAGGATTGGTGTCGGGACCCCCAGGCACAGTGACTCCCCCAGGATTGGTGTCAGGACCCCCAGGCACAGTGACTCCCCCCAGGATTGGTGATCGGGACCCCCAGCACAGTGACTCCCCCCAGGATTGGTGACGGGACCCCCAGCACAGTGACTCCCCCCAGGATTGGTGACGGGACCCCAGGATTGGCACAGTGACTCCCCCCAGGATTGGTGTCGATGGGACCCCCAGCACAGTGACTCCCCCCAGGATTGGTGACAGGACCCCAGGCACAGTGACTCCCCCCAGGATTGGTGATGGGACCCCCAGGCACAGTGACTCCCCCCAGGATTGGTGATGGGACCCCCAGGCACAGTGTCTCCCCCCAGGATTGGTGATGGGACCCCCAGGGCACAGTGTCTCCCCCCCAGGATTGGTGATGGACCCCCAGCACAGTGACTCCCCCCAGGATTGGTGATGGGACCCCCAGGCACACAGTGTCCCCCCCAGGATTGGTGATGGGACCCCCAGGCACAGTGTCTCCCCCCAGGATTGGTGATGGACCCCCCCAGGCACAGTGACTCCCCCCAGGATTGGTGATGGGACCCCCAGGCACAGTGACTCCCCCCAGGATTGGTGATGGGACCCCCAGGCACAGTGACTCCCCCCAGGATTGGTGATGGACCCCCAGGCACAGTGACTCCCCCAGGATTGGTGATGGGACCCCCAGGCACAGTGACTCCCCCCAGGATTGGTGATGGGACCCCCAGGCACAGTGACTCCCCCCAGGATTGGTGATGGACCCCCAGGCACAGTGACTCCCCCCCAGGATTGGTGATGGACCCCCAGGCACAGTGTCTCCCCCCAGGATTGGTGATGGACCCCCAGGCACAGTGACTCCCCCAGGATTGGTGATGGGACCCCCAGGCACAGTGTCTCCCCCCCCAGGATTGGTGATGGGACCCCCAGGCACAGTGTCCCCCCAGGATTGGTGATGGACCCCCAGGCACAGTGTCTCCCCCAGGATTGGTGATGGACCCCCAGGCACAGTGTCTCCCCCCAGGATTGGTGATGGACCCCCAGGCACAGTGTCTCCCCCCAGGATTGGTGATGGGACCCCCCCCCAGCACAGTGACTCCCCCAGGATTGGTGATGGGACCCCCGGCACAGTGTCTCCCCCCAGGATTGGTGATGGGACCCCCAGGCACAGTGTCCCCCCCAGGATTGGTGATGGACCCCCAGGCACAGTGTCTCCCCCCAGGATTGGTGATGGACCCCCAGGCACAGTGTCTCCCCCCCAGGATTGGTGATGGACCCCCAGGCACAGTGACTCCCCCCAGGATTGGTGATGGACCCCCAGGCACAGTGACTCCCCCAGGATTGGTGATGGACCCCCAGGCACAGTGACCCCCCCAGGATTGGTGATGGACCCCCAGGCACAGTGACTCCCCCAGGATTGGTGATGGGACCCCCGGCACAGTGGACCCCCCAGGATTGGTGATGGGACCCCCAGGCACAGTGTCTCCCCCAGGATTGGTGATGGACCCCCCAGGCACAGTGTCTCCCCCAGGATTGGTGATGGACCCCCAGGCACAGTGTCTCCCCCCAGGATTGGTGAGTGACCCCCTCCCCCCAGGATTGGTGACAGGATGGACCCCCAGGCACAGTGTCTCCCCCCAGGATTGGTGATGGACCCCCAGGCACAGTGTCTCCCCCCCAGGATTGGTGATGGGACCCCAGGCACAGTGTCTCCCCCCAGGATTGGTGATGGACCCCCAGGCACAGTGTCTCCCCCAGGATTGGTGATGGGACCCCCAGGCACAGTGTCTCCCCCCAGGATTGGTGATGGACCCCCAGGCACAGTGTCTCCCCCCAGGATTGGTGATGACCCCCAGGCACAGTGTCTCCCCCCAGGATTGGTGATGGACCCCCAGGCACAGTGTCTCCCCCAGGATTGGTGATGGACCCCAGGCACAGTGTCTCCCCCAGGATTGGTGATGGACCCCCAGGCACAGTGTCTCCCCCAGGATTGGTGATGGACCCCCAGGCACAGTGTCTCCCCCCAGGATTGGTGATGGACCCCCAGGCACAGTGTCTCCCCCAGGATTGGTGATGGACCCCCAGGCACAGTGTCTCCCCCCAGGATTGGTGATGGACCCCAGGCACAGTGTCTCCCCCAGGATTGGTGATGGACCCCCAGGCACAGTGTCTCCCCCAGGATTGGTGATGGACCCCCAGGCACAGTGTCTCCCCCAGGATTGGTGATGGACCCCCAGGCACAGTGTCTCCCCCAGGATTGGTGATGGACCCCCAGGCACAGTGTCTCCCCCAGGATTTGGTGATGGGACCCCCAGGCACAGTGTCTCCCCCAGGATTGGTGATGGACCCCCAGGCACAGTGTCTCCCCCCAGGATTGGTGATGGACCCCCAGGCACAGTGTCTCCCCAGGATTGGTGATGGACCCCCAGGCACAGTGTCTCCCCCAGGATTGGTGATGGACCCCCAGGCACAGTGTCTCCCCCCAGGATTGGTGATGGACCCCCAGGCACAGTGTCTCCCCCAGGTTTGGTGATGGACCCCCACAGGGTCTCCAGTGTGATGGACCCCCAGGCACAGTGTCTCCCCCAGGTGATGGTGATGGACCCCCAGGCACAGTGTCTCCCCCAGGTTTGGTGATGGACCCCCCAGGCACAGTGTCTCCCCCAGGATTGGTGATGGACCCCCAGGCACAGTGTCTCCCCTCAGGATTGGTGATGGACCCCCAGGCACAGTGTCTCCTCTAGGCTCCTGGCACATTCCTAGATGGTTACCTCCACCATAGTACCGCCCCGGTTGGCCTCGTATTTGGAGGTGACAACTCCACTTGCCATCAACATTACGAAGAACTCTGGTAGTTTTGGCGGCCAATATGGCTGACGGGGATTTGGTGTCGTACGTCCCCCCCGCTCCTAACAATTCCCTGATCTGCCTGTCAGCCCTGCGTCACGTCTTCACGTCTTATATAAGCGGCCGCCATGAATAATGCATGGGACCCCAACGCCTGGATCGGTGGCGCGGAAGGCAGAACGCCGGGCATGATATAAACACGTAATACGCGGCTCGTATGGAACATCTCGGGGACTTTGCTGGTCCTCCTAGACGACATCACATCTGAAAGCGGTTGCCACGGTAACAACTGAAGCAGGCCTAGCGGCTACAGCGCTGCGGAACACAGACTTTACGCCACGGGCTGGGGCTAATTATAGCAAAAGTCACCAGAGAGCGCGAGAAAGAAGCACCGAGCCTTTAACCCCTTCTGATCCGATGGGGGAGGGGTGGGGAGCACCTATAGGGATGGTGAGGATGGAGAGCGCCAATAGAGATTGTGGTGATGGTGGGAGATCTATGGAATGGGGGGTGGGGGCAGGAATGGGGGGTGGGGGAGGTGCACCTATAGGAATGGGAGGTGGGGGAGGGGCACCTATGGAATGGGGGGTGGGGAAGGGGGCACCCATAGGAATGGGAGGTGGGGGAGGGGCACCTATGGAATGGGGGGTGGGGAAGGGGCACCCATAGGAATGGGAGGTGGGGGAGGGGCACCTATGGAATGGGGGGTGGGTAAGGGGTACCTATGGAATGGGGGATGGGCATCTATAGGAATGGGTTGGGGAATCTATGGAATGGGGGGTTGGCACCTATAGGAATGGGGAGGGTGGGGAAGGGCACCTATGAAATAGGTGTGTGGGGAAGGGGCACCTATGGAATGGGGGATGGGCACCTATAGGAATGGGGGGGGGGGGGGTGAAGGGGCACCCATAGGAATGGGAGGTGGGGGAGGGACACCTATGGAATGGGGGGTGGGGAAGGGGCACCTATAGGAATGGGGTGGAAAATCTATGGAATGGGGGGTGGGGGAGGTGCACCTATAGGAATGGGAGGGGGGGGGAAGGGGCACCTATGGAATGGGGGGGTGGGGTGGGGAAGGGGTACCTATGGAATGGGGGATGGGCATCTATAGGAATGGGTTGGGGAATCTATGGAATGGGGGGTGGGCACCTATAGGAATGGGGAGGGTGGGGAAGGGACACCTATGAAATGGGGGTGTGCGGAAGGGGCACCTATGGAATGGGGGGGTGAAGGGACACCTATGAAATGGGGGTGTGGGGAAGGGGCACCTATGGAATGGGGGACGGGGGGGGTACCCCAGTTTGTATCTGATCAGGTACAAACTCATTGGTTAGGTAGGTCCTCCTAATACATAGCTGTTGGTAAAACGAAAGGAGATTGTACAATCAGATTGGCGTGTACGTCTGACTTTACGTGTATATTTGGGTCCTATGAATTCCCCTACAATCACAGTCCCATTCCTGAGTGTCCCATTGGTCCCCAGCATATAGGAGGAGGCAGCCAATCAGTTTGCTGGGAGCTGGTGATGTCACTGAACCAGGAAAGTTTGCAGAAACTCCTTCTAGCAGAGACATAAAATTGCCCGTTGAGTGTGGCCATGCAGCCTGGGACAACCACCAGTAACCAATCAGCTGTCAGGTTGCTGGAATCAGCCACGGCCATTGTTGGGGTTCTATAGTATACCTGCACTGGCTCTCCTGTAGAGTCGGAGTTCCGGTCAGGTCTTCTTCAGTGTGTGATCCTCGTGTTTCGGGTAATTCTTCTCTGATATTAAATGTTTGTTTCCTTTGCCTCTTACAGACCTTGAACCCATCGGTGGCAGAATCGTGTCACTATGGCTAAAGATAACAATGCATTCACTGCAGTTCCCGGCTCCACCAACACCAAACCCACCTTCTCTCATCCATCCAAACTGGCCGAAAAGTTCGAGAAGGCGGACAGGAAACTGAGGCGCCGGCAGAGGTACGTGGAGAAGGACGGGCGCTGCAACGTCCAGCATGGAAATGTCCGAGAGACCTATCGCTATCTCACTGACATCTTCACCACCTTGGTGGACCTGAAATGGAGGGTGAGCCTCCTGGTCTTCATTCTGGCCTATGCCATCACCTGGCTCTTCTTCGGGGTCATCTGGTGGTTTATTGCCTACTGTCGGGGGGACCTGGAGCATCTGGAGGACCCGGGATGGACGCCGTGCATCAAGAACCTCAATGGGTTTGTCTCTGCATTCCTCTTCTCCATTGAAACAGAAACAACAATTGGCTATGGACATCGGGTCATCACCGACAAATGTCCAGAAGGGATCATCTTGCTCCTCCTTCAAGCCATCCTGGGATCCATGGTCAATGCTTTCATGGTGGGCTGCATGTTTGTCAAAATCTCCCAACCCAATAAGCGGGCCGAGACGCTGGTCTTCTCTTCCCATGCCGTCATCTCCCTGCGGGATGATAAACTTTGTCTCATGTTCCGGGTGGGAGATCTGCGCCAGTCACACATTGTGGAAGCTTCCATCAGAGCCAAACTCATCAAATCCAAACAAACGCAAGAGGGAGAATTCATTCCACTCAACCAGACGGACATCAATGTTGGATTTGAGACCGGAGACGACCGGCTCTTCTTGGTGTCACCGTTAATCATCAGCCATGAAATCAATGAGCACAGCCCATTCTGGGAAGTGTCCCAGAGACAGCTGGAGAAGGATGAGTTTGAGATCGTGGTGATCCTTGAAGGAATGGTGGAAGCCACAGGTAGGTAGAAGCCATGGGTGGCCATATTGAAATGGGGCCAATTGGTTTTTCCATCTTAGCGTAGTTTTCCTGCACTTCTTGTCTGACAGGCAGCAGTGAGTAGCCAACACAGAATTATTTTCATGTTCTAGAGGATTATGGGAAGGAACTCGGTGGCAGCCATGTTGGCTCTGCAGTCTTCTTCTGTACGATAGTTGTGGCTTTCTTCTCTTCTGATATGGAGCAAATACATGAATGAGAGCCCTGTGTGGTCACTCACACCTCTGCCCTGATTGGAGGAGGCCCCTCACTCACCTTATAAGGAGCAAATACACGAATGAGAGCCCTTGTTGTACTGAAGTTGATTGATGGATTGCCTTCAGTACAACCAGCCTGCCCATAGATAGATCGAAGCTCAGCTGGTCCCTGCTAAACCGGCCACTATTCGATTCATTTATGGCCGGCTTTAGAAATCCCATTCCAGAACCATGGACATTAGTATGGAGCCCCCACCTCCTTACCATTAATATGAAAATGCCCTTCCCCCATGGCAGTTAATAAGGAGCCCCCTCCCCCATTAATATGGAGTTTCCCCCCTCCCTTATGGCCATTAGTATGGGCTTGATTCCCTTCCCCGCACCCCTTTATCTACCATGGCCATAGTACAGAGTTGCCCCCTTTGCCATCCTCCAATCTTCTGGGAGGGTTGCCACAATATTTTGGAGGGTGTCTGTGGGAGTTTGTGCACATTTGTGAGGTCAGGTACTGATGGTGGATGAGAAGACCTGCCTCACACATTGGGCGCCAAAAAAAAAAAAAAACCTGGTTCACAATCCCAATCAAACCAAAAGTGTTCAGTAGAGTTGAGGTAAGGACTTTGTGCAAGACACTCGAGTTCCTTCAAGTCTTCAAAGTCAAAGTCTCTATGGAGTTGCCCACCTTTGTGGCTCATAAAAATGGGGACACATTCCTTCACTGTTCTGGGAAGGTTTTCCTCAACTCCATAGAGATTTTGGAGAGTTCCTTCAAGTCCTCAAAGTCTCTATGGAGTGTGGGAATGTGTTTTCCTCCCATTTGTGAGGTCAGGTACTGATGATGGATGAGACCTGGCTCACCATCAGCCTTCCAATCCATCCAAAGGTGTTCAGTACGACGAGGTCAGGGCTTTTTACAGGACACTGAAGTTCCTCCTCCACACCAAACTGGTCATCTATGTCTTTACGGAGCTGGCTTTCTACACAGTCATGCTGGAACTGAAAAGAACCTTTCCAAGACTGTTGCGTGAGGCTGTAATCGCAGCCAGGTTAGAACCCCTGTCATTTAAAAGAGCATTTGTAAGGTCAGGTACTGATGTTGGTTGAGAAGATCTGGCTCACCTTCGGTGTTCCAGTTCATCTCAGAAGTGTTTTTAGTAGGGTTGAGGTCTGGGCTCTGTACAGGGCACTGGAGTTCCTCCACACCAAGCTGGTCATCCATGTCTTTATGGAGCTGGCTTTGTACACAGGGGACAGTCATGGGGGGACAGAAAAGGGTCTTCACCAAACTGGTCATCCATGTCTTTATGGAGCTGGCTTTGTACACGGGAGACAGTCATGGGGGACAGAAAAGGGTCTTCACCAAACTGGTCATCCATGTCTTTATGGAGCTGGCTTTGTACACAGGGACAGTCATGGGGGGACAGAAAAGGGTCTTCACCAAAACTGGTCATTGTCTTTATGGAGCTGGCTTTGTACACGGAGACAGTCATGGGGGACAGAAAAGGGTCTTCACCAAACTGTTACCACAAGGCTGGAGGAGCCCATTGTCTCCAATGTCTTTGTATGATGGAGGATTACCAGGACCCTTCACTGGGGACGCCTCGACTCCATCATTGGGAGGGGGGGGTTCACATACTTCGTCTTGTCCACATATTGAATCACTGATCTGTAACAAGTATGTAGATCGGTCAGATGAAGTCAGAACTCATGATCTGCATAGTTATTCCAGGCCAATGAATAGTGAAGCCAGAAGAGCAGCCACTAACAGCCAGGGAATTAGTATTTTCAGAAGGGTCAGTAATGGCAGCCTTGATCTCAGTATGGCTCAGAATTCTCCTGGGGCTCTTCATGAGCTTTGAAGTATAACTAAAGGCAAAACGTATTTTAGTGTTGGATGGAGTGGAGAGAGAGATGACTCCCCGTCAGGTTTTATGGCCGCCTCTGTCCCGGTTAGGGAGCTTCCCGATCTTATTTGTCCTGTGTACCATTATTTTTTACAGTGAAAGTAAAAGAAAATCCCAAATTTTGGGTTGTCCCCAGAAAAGTAATAGTAATAGAAATCTTCCAATGGGGACACTGGTTCTGATGGTTCCTAAAGATATCCTCTAATTTGCAGGATTTCCTCACTTCCTGTTTGGCTATGGGACAGGAAGTGAAGGGAAATCTCCCCAATGGGACACAGATGGTGAAAATAAAACCTGACCGGGGTTATAACCCTCTCGAACCCTTGCCTATAGTTGTACTCTAAGACCTTTAGTAGAAAAGCCCCACAATGGAGGACCTGCAGTCAGCACCTGATGGCATTCCTCCTGTACACAGTGGTAGGTACCATGAGGGTTCCCGTCCTTTGTTCTCAGCATGACAACAGCCAGTAGACACCACAGACCACGTCAGTCTCATGTCAGTAGTTGCTATGGGTTACATCACTGCTTTGAGCGCTTGTCAGTCAGCAGAGAGGACTTTAGTGACTGCTAGTGGTGGCTTTAAGGAAATGCAAGTAGGGTAGGTACAATGTTCTCAGGAAAGGACGAATATGTCCACTTATAACACTTATCACTGAGGTGGGTCTCAAAACCTTCTACGTCCCAGCAGGTGCTGCATCTCTCCTGAGGCTGCTGGGAGCTACACTCTGCATGATATAATCCGGTTAATGTGACATATTTTATTGACTATCCACGGATTCCTCAGCTGCCAGTGATAAGTCGGGAGAACGAAGAATGTCTGTAAGTTTGTTGTCATTCGATTTGTGCCTGAGCTTTTCACTTCTTCTCCTCCCTCCAGGAATGACGTGCCAGGCCCGCAGCTCTTACCTGGTGGACGAGGTGCTGTGGGGGTCATCGCTTCATGTCCGTTCTGACGCTGGAGGACGGCTTCTATGAGGTGGACTACAACACCTTCCACCAGACCTTCGAGGTTCCTACCCAGCCTGCAGTGCCCGAGAGCTGGCCGAGGCTGCCGCCAGAATGGACGCTCACCTCTACTGGTCCATCCCCAGCCAACTGGATGAGAAGGTGGAGGAGGAGGGGACGGAGAAAACAGGACAAGCAGAGGAATGGCAGCATCACTAGTCCGGAGAGCGAGCAGGCGCCATCCGAATGACCGTGGATGGACCAGTCATTGGAGACTGACCACTCAGTGGATGGACATTAGAGCTTGCCATTGGGAACTGACAACACTCTGTAGATTGACAATGGTGCTGGTTATACGGGACTGACTTCAGTCCATGGCACATTACAGCCAGGCTTTAGGAATTATCTCCACTCTATGGACAGACACTAGAGCCAGTCACTGGGGACTGACCTCTCTTTGTGGATGGACATAGAGCCAGTCACTGGGGACTGACCTCTCTCTGTGGATGGACACTGAGCCAGTCACTGGGGACTGACCTCTCTCTGATGGACACTAGAGCAGTCACTGGGAACAGGAGCTTACTCAATGGATGGACCTTAGAACCATCACTGGGAACTGACCTCTCTCCATGGATGACCACAGAACCGATCACTGAGGACTGACCTCTCTCCATGGATTACCACAGAACCGGTCACTGAGGACAGACCTCTCTCCATGGATGACCATAGAACCGGTCACTGAGGACAGACCTCTCTCATTGATGACCATGAACCCAATACTGAGGACAGACCTCTCTCCATGGATTACCACAGAACCGGTCACTGAGGACAGACCTCTCTCCATGGATGGACCACAAAAGCTGGTCACTGAGGATTGACCTCTCTCCATGGATGGACATTACAGCCGGTCACTGAGGACTGACCTCTCTCCATGGATGGACATTACAGCCAATCACTGAGGACTGACCTCTCTCCATGGATGGACATTACAGCCGGTCACTGAGGACTGACCTCTCTCCATGGATGGACATTACAGCCGGGTCACTGAGGACTGACCTCTCTCCATGGATGGACATTACAGCCGGGTCACTGAGGACTGACCTCTCTCCATGGATGGACATTAAGCCAATCATTGGGGGGGCTGACCTCTCTCCATGGATGGACATTACAGCCGGTCACTGAGGACTGACCTCTCTCCATGGATGGACATTACAGCCGGTCACTGAGGACTGACCTCTCTCCATGGATGGACCATTACAGCCGGTCATTGGGGGGTTGACCTCTCTCCATGGATGGACGTTACAGCCGGTCACTGAGGGGCTGACCTCTCTCCATGGATGGACATTACAGCCGGTCATTGGGGGGACTGACCTCTCTCCATGGATGGACGTTACAGCCGGTCATTGAGGGGCTGACCTCTCTCCATGGATGGACATTAGAGCCGGTCATTGGGGGGACTGACCTCTCTCCATGGATGGACATTAGAGCCGGTCATTGGGGGGCTGACCTCTCTCCATGGATGGACATTAGAGCCGGTCATTGGGGGGCTGACCTCTCTCCATGGATGGACATTAGAGCCGGTCATTGGGGGGCTGACCTCTCTCCATGGATGGACATTAGAGCCGGTCATTGGGGGGCTGACCTCTCTCCATGGATGGACATTAGAGCCGATCATTGGGGGGCTGACCTCTCTCCATGGATGGACATTAGAGCCGGTCATTGGGGGGCTGACCTCTCTCCATGGATGGACATTAGAGCCGGTCATTGGGGGGCTGACCTCACAACTCAAATATTGCAGCAGACACCTGATGGCCGATGCAATAAAATAGTTTCATTATACAGTGCTGTGTGATTTAATAGAGGTTCCACACAATGCACACTCCATGTTGAGAAGAACGTGTTGTGATCCTCACCTTTGTTTCCCTCATTTCGGTCAATGCTGGTCTGAGTCTGGTTGGTTGCCCTGGACTCTCTGAGATGGTTCTTCCTCTTCTCTCCATAGCCTTTCTCTTTGGATGGAGTGAAGACGGGTGAGATCCTCAATCAGCTGATTGCTCCCGATGTCCCTACTGGGAGATCCCCCTTGACTTCCTGTGCTCATGGATGAGACTGGGTGTCACCAACACAGGAAGTGAGGGGAGTCCTCCCAGTGTGGACAGAGACGGGTGCAACCCTTCCATCCTTTTCCAGCACAGAGCCGATTCTGATTGGCTCCTGGGTGGGAACACAGTTCTCAGTAATCTCAGCCTTGTGGCGTCCCGATAGTGTCGCACAGCTCCGCCCCCTTCCCATCCCCCACCTTCCCATTGGTGAGACAACAGAGCAGAACAATGGTGGTGTGACAAAACGTTTTTATTTCATGGAAATGTTAGGCGGTGACGCTTCCTCCTGGCGTCATGAGAATTATTAGGAGGGTCTTCATATCAGAGCTCCCGGCTAAGTTGTCTCCTGAAACAATTGGGAAGTGTCCTATGAGGATTCCCGGAGTGCATCTGGCAGAACTCCCTGTGATTGGCTGCCTCAATTAGTGGTCAGCAGATCCAGCCAATCCCAGAGAAATTCAGGGGTCAGGGGTCGGGGTTTGTATCCAGGGACAACTTAGCCGTAGGGAGGCGTTCAGCTGGTGGAGAGAGAAGTGGTTGGTCCTCGGACTCACAATAAACACAAATACGTCTCAGAATAAAAAATCGTCCCACCGATCCTTCATAGTCCACCCTGCCCCCGCCAATACCAGCAGGGGGCGGAGTCAGGGTAGTGAGTAGCGTATAAAAATGGCCGCTGATACAGTCCATTGGAAGTGGCTCAGGTAAGTGGTCGTGGGGCTCCAGCAATGTGGATTGAAGGGAAGTGACGTCCAACGTACCGATCTCCAGCTATTGGATTCCTCCACCACCCGGCACCAACAATGCAAGAGGTCTACTCACCAATCAGATGCCAGATCTCCATCTTCTGACATTGAGAGCTGAAATCTGATTGGTTGTTCGGGAGAAAGGTGGGAGGGGCTAAGGAAGGGGGAAGAAGGGGTGAATGGAGAATGAAGGGAGGGAGGGGAGAGAAACGGGCAAAGAAGGAGGAGGTTGGGAGAGGGTGGGGGTGAAGGGAGATTTGGGGGTGCAGAAGAGGCGATGGCTCCCCATATCCCGGGTCCTGGAGAAGGTCTCCCTCTTCTCTGATATGATTGGGCTGGAGCCGTATTTCTGGAGGTCACATGGTACTCGGGTGGCAGAGCGATCGGCGTGGCGTAGAGCGAACTTCATACAAGGGGTGCAGTGCAATAACCCAGGGGAGCCAGTGCAGGCGCCGTCCATTGTGGGACAATAAAATGACAGCAGTGCTCACCCTCCGAGGGGGGGGTTCTGGGATTACCCAATCAGGATGCGTCCCTGGATAGGGGGCGGGGTCCAGGGGAATCCTGCTCACATCGTAGTGTTCATCAAAAAAAAGAAATGTTCGATCGGTCAGACCTCAGTCCTTCATTGGTCGCTCTGCGTGGGGCTCACCTCTTGCGGACGCGCAGGCGTCGGATGTAGCAGCAGGTGACGGTGGACAGGATGGTGATTCCCACGAAGAGCGCGCTGGCCACACCTCCAATCACCGGGATCACCAGCATATCCTTCACTGCAAGACACAGAGGGGGAGGGGAGAGGTTAGGGGGGATGGCAGGACGGCCAATCACCAACAAGAACCGGGATGAACAGCATATCCTTCACTGCAAGACACAGAGGGGGAGGGGAGAGGTTAGGGGGGGGGGGGAATGGCAGGACGGCCAATCACCAACGAGAACCGGGATGACCAGCATATCCTTCACTGCAAGACACAGAGGGGGAGGGGAGAGGTTAGGGGGGATGGGCAGGACGGCCAATCACCAACGAGAACCGGGATGGGTGAGCTGCCATTGTCCTATACACTATGTACTCCATGGAACGGCCATTACCGGCCACACAGAGCCAGATCTGATCTGTCAGAGGAGCCCCGCCCCATTCTCCTCATCTGACCAATGAAATCTGAAGCTGTGTGGTGGCCGGTACGTCCCGATACTCAACATGGGCTGTCCAGTCCCCGAGGGCCACAGAGAGGTTGAGGATGTTCTGGTGACCATGGTGAGTGGATTCTACGGGACCACAGTGCCCTACGGGGCCACACTGCCCTACAAGGCCACACACTATTGGGGGGGAGACCTGTATCTGAAGGGAGATCCGTCCACAGTCCTTCCTTTATACACACGAGGAAGAATCTGATTGGTTGTGATGGACACTATGGGGGCGGGCCTTTCTTTATAAGCACAAGAGGGAGAATCTGATTGGCTGTGTGACAGTTCGGGGGGGGGGGGGGGGGGTATAACAATAAGACGGTGATGGGACTTGGGGTGCTAACCCTGGGCGTACAGATACAGTTTGGGGGGCGATAACAATAAGGAGACGACTCACCCTGGGCGTACGGATACAGTTTGATGAGGTTGGACTTGGCGGAGGCGGCGCTGTACCAGGTCCGGTCCGGGTATTGGACCCATGCAGTGACTGTGCAGTGGTACATCCCCTCCCCCTGGGCGTACAGATACAGTTTGGGGGGCGATAACAATAAGGAGACGACTCACCCTGGGCGTACGGATACAGTTTGATGAGGTTGGACTTGGCGGAGGCGGCGCTGTACCACCAGGTCCGGTCCGGGTATTGGACCCATGCAGTGACTGCGCAGTGGTACATCCCCTCGTCCTGCCCCTGGGCGTACAGATACAGTTTGGGGGGCGCGATAACAATAAGGAGACGACTCACCCTGGGCGTACGGATACAGTTTGATGAGGTTGGACTTGGCAGAGGCAGCGCTGTGCCAGGGTCAGTTATTGGACCCCCCAGGCAATGACTGCGCAGTGGTACATCCCCTCGTCCTCCCCCTGGGCGTACAGATACAGTTTGGGGGGCGATAACAATAAGGAGACGACTCACCCTGGGCGTATGGATACAGTTTGATGAGGCTGGACTTGGCGGAGGCAGCGCTGTGCCAGGGTCAGTTATTGGACCCCCAGGCAATGACTGCGCAGTGGTACATCCCCTCCCCCTCCCCCTGGGCGTACAGATACAGTTTGGGGGGGGGGCGATAACAATAAGGAGACGACTCACCCTGGGCGTATGGATATACAGTTTGATGAGGTTGGACTTGGCGGAGGCGGCGCTGTACCAGGTCCGGTCCGGGTATTGGACCCATGCAGTGACTGCGCAGTGGTACATCCCCTCGTCCTCCCCCTGGACGTTG